CCACCTACATACATCGGGCTAAGAGATATTAGGGCTTAGCCATGAACAAGCATGAGAGTGGCAGGGCTACCAATGTCCAAATGAATCAAGTCATGCAAGCCAGGGATTCTAGTTTATTTCAGGAAGAACTAGTCGGTGGGCGGGAGGGGGGAAACCTGTTGGAGCAGCCAGCAGGCTCTGCAATACACATTTAGTGTTAAGCTGCAGTGTGGCTTTGCAAACCACATGAATGGACTCATTGATGAAGCTTGCCCAATCACTGGAAAAAGTTCCATTACTGAACAACAGTCAATAGTTATTCACTATTTTTAGAATATACTAAATTCAGTGGCAAAAATTCCACGTTTTTTAAATATAATTTGGACCTATAAAGCGAGTACAAATGATTTTAAATAGTTGGCTATTCAGTTCATGCTAAGTTAGATTAGATCCCATCTTCTTTAACCCCTCAACATGTTGAAGTACTGGCAGATAAAATTATGAAAGTTTTGAGTACTTATGCAGTTCTTGTTCTTATATTTGAAGTAGTTGCTCCTAAATATGTGATTTATTGGGGACAAGACATATTAGTGCTATATTTAATTTTTGGTTAACACTGTTTCTACTTCAGCACTGTAACTGTGCCCAAGGAGTCATAAAATATAACAGTATTTGTATTGTAAAATTCAAATGTTGTATTTTAATTAGAATAATACATTCAATTAAATTATGATTCTACACTTTTATAAGTGGATTGTAGATAGAAAAGGAAACTAGTTACATTGATAGACATCAATCCTACATGCATGTGTTGTGTCCTAATCTGAACTAGCAGTTCCATTAAAATAACAAAATAATTTGGGGGCCTTGAGAGTGAGAAGACCATGACCTTCCACATGTCATGAAATGAAAATTATTAATAACAGGACAGTGAATTGTGGCCGTCCATAAGCCACTGAATTATATCTCCCATCATGTCCAGCCATCACACTCAACAGTTAAATATAGATGTTGTAGTCCAACTTTTGGGGGTTCACAGGTTCTCTAATAATCTCTCAACATTCTTGCAAGGACAAGTCCCATTCAGATCCAGACCCAGCTGAAAAATAAAATATGTTGTTCCAGTTATCCTGCCGTTCAAATAAGTAATCTGTTTTCTAGTTATTTATTCAATATTTTTATGCATTTGGATTTTGCAAAGAAATAGTTTTACTGTATCTAAATGCTTGTTTTCTTCAGCACTTGTTACAAAATAATGCTTTTTTGGTGCCAGATTTAATATTATAGAATCCAAGATGATTCCATTGACCTTTTACTGAAAAATTATGCACACTTCACTGGGTGTTTTGGTGACATGGCCAGAGATTCTGAGCCTTTTGCTCTTCGTTGTTTATTATTTCTGATAGACAAAAGCAGCACTGTGTTGCTGTAACTCCCACCACAGTCATTCCTTTATTTTCAGAAAGGAAAATGGGTCATGTTCTCAGAAGCTGGCTAGAGAAATGTACTGACTTGCAGTTTATAACTGAGCTGTTTCTGCATTGGTGCCCAAATTTAAAGTTTACAGAATGTTAGGCTATGTTTTTCTAGCAAATTGGCCTAAGTTCCATTTTCAAACACTTTTTTTTACCTTCAGGTCTTAAAGAAAATTAAGAGATATGAGCCAAATAAACTATCTGGATCATATATCCTATCCCCTGTTTTTTCTTTATTGAACTTGTGGTTAAAAAAAGGGGTTATTAGAATTCAATGAATAGAAAGATGATGGAAGATACCTTTGTTGGAAGAAGTGAAGTTTGCTGGTGCCTACTTCCCTGTAACAGTATTCTGCTCCAGAGTTTTAGGCAATCTGTGGTATAACTCTGAATTGTGGAGACTGCAGGAGAAAATAAAATTTCCCTCACTTACTCCCAGAGAAACCTCTACTGGATCAAATACTCTTCTGTCAAAGGAAGAACACCATGCATTTGTAGAAGAGTAACTTTCTGGATTTACCCTTCTCTCTCTCTCTCTCTCTCTTTTTAATTTGAAAGTCTTCTGCAGATAACAC